GAGAACTGCATAGCGAATCCTGACTTGCTGATATAAAAGTCTGTCTCAAACTGAATAGTGACAGTGTTCAGTGTGGAGTGCAGTCCCTCGGGGAGCAGAGACCCACTCAGCTCTGACAAAGACATCTCGTTCTCAGGTGGTCCATCCCAAACCTTCAGCATGTCGTGGCTGGCTTCTGTGTCAAACGCCAAGAACTGGAGACTGTAATTTGCATAAAGAAAAAAAGGTACGCAACAATAGAAATATTATACCTTCAATAATTCACAAATACATTTTCTTAAAGTCCATTCCAAACTTATACAACTGGCCTCCTTTTTTAAAACCAACAACTCACAGAGAGACTATTATGGAAATCATTTCAGATAAAAACAATGTGTGGTTGGTCATTTAATTTTAAGTGAGATCATTTCCTTCAATAATTATATTAGGAAAAAAAACACTAACTCAGAGGAAATTACTTTTCAATTTAATGTTTTTTTCAAAAGTACTGGAGTGGGCACTAACATTAATGACATTCTTATTTTTACTTTAGCAGTGGGAAGATTTAAAATGGTCTACTTTACCTCACAATGTTTCCTGAGTCCACCTCGATGGTCCAAGTGCAGCGCAGATTATTGTCGTAAGGAAAAGGGTACCCAGGGGAAAGAATCCGCCCTGCAGACTCCCCCTTAAAACGGCCACCACACTCGGCTACAAGAACCACACACAAAATGAACACTGTTAATATCAAGCAATAAACAAATGAGCCTGTATTATACATCTTAATGTCTGATAAGCACACTGACAACCTTACCAAGATCAATTAAAACCAATGGGTAATTGATGAGTGTGTGTATTTAACAGTGTATTTGATGTATGACAAGTCAACCAGTTATCTGTCTGGGGCAATTGTTGATCAAGGCAATCAGATCCACAAATTGCACCTCAGCAGCCGCTGAGCAGTGATTTAACGGTCACCACGGAGACAAATGGATTTAGAAAGAAGCCAACTCTCTTTCTCAGCGACTCTCTGTCTTTCTCACGCACAGAGAGAGCAGAGAAGAAGAGACAAAGTGCTGACCATCCCTGAAGAAACCACCACACATTATATAACAGAAAATAATTCCCCTTTCTCTCTTCGTCTCTCTTGGTTATACATTTCCACAATCTTCATCCCCTCTCTTTTCCCCTTCCGTCCCTATGTTCCCCCTCCCTCAGGCTCCCCTCCCCTCACTGGAATATATTAACGCGAGTAATAGGAGCGATATTAGGGGTTGACATGGAGGAGAAAAGAGAGAAGGAGATGAAAAAAAAAAAAAAACCTCAGAGAACCAAGGGGGAAACACTATGAGTAATAATAAGAAGCAATATAATATTAAGACTGAAGGTTAGCTGAGGTCATTGTGTGCCACTGCTTGAATATAAAGTCAGAGAATATCAGACAGTGCTTTTATGAGTATTTCATTATTGATAGTGAGTAGGAGAGAGACTTATTAAGCTGAATCCAAAATCAGAAAGTTCACAGGCAGCGATGAGGAAAGAAAGGTCCCTAAAACATTGAGCTGCTGTTATCCTTATAGCTCCCATCTGGGGCACAGCTGCAGCAGCCATTTTGTGTGCCACTCTGTAAAGTTGTAGCATTTGTTTGGGTTTAATTGGGACATTTATTAATTCAACCACAAAGCTACTGTAAAGGTATGTCTCCAAACAAGCTTCAGGTATTCAGACATATATACCAACATATTAATGAATGTGTGAGCGTGCCTGTTTGAGTTCTGCAGCCCATATGATGCATAATAATGCATTAATAGTGACATCTTGACATCAATATTCACAGCTGTGGTTTGTAGTTTCCCATCAGTTTGAAGTCATGAAAAATGAATTAAAAGGCCATGAGATTATAATGAAATATTTAGAATTATGTCAATACTCGGAGAGTAGTTGCTTCCCGTTGCGTTTTATGGCTCACATAAAATGGCCTGCAAATTGATACAGTTCCCAGGAGCAACCCAAATCAATTCAATTGTGTTTATGAAACTATTCTTATAAATAGGTTTGTCACCTATTCACCTAGCATCTAGGGGGCGAAGATGGCGGTCTACAGGAGACACCGCAGGAAGTGAATTGGGTCAATTGGCCAGAGGGAGTCCAGGTGGTAAACTCTCCTGAATAAATGGGCTTATCAACCAGACTTTAAACCTGGAGCACTGTGCGATCTCATGGGAAAATCAAGACGGGGATTCCATCTGCTTTTTTTCCAGATTATTGAATGAATGTCCGGTGAGCAGACACTTTGCATAAAGCTGAGCGCCACTGCAGTGTAGAGCAATACTGTGGAGTCAGTACAATATTGCTTACTGCTACTTAAAAGATGCTTTTTTTTAGTTCTGGGTTAAATGTGATATTTACACTGAGAACAGCTGGATGTCATCATCTCTTAATTTTTGGGCTATAACAAATGTTACAAAATATCTGTTTTCAATTTAAACCAATGCCTGTATTAGGCCTTGGGTTGCTGTGTGGCAATTTAACAAATACATGGAATCATGTCTGCAGATGGCAGCACTACGGACCGCCTATCATACATCAAAAAATGCCGTAATATCAGTGAAAGCCAAAGCAACAATGAACCCTCCTCACCTCTCCCTCTCAAGCTTATTACAGAGTGCTATTCAAGGTTCATCCTGTAATTGAGTGTGTGCTTGCCTTTGTGTGTCTGTATACATCAGCTTGAGTCTTTTCAATGCACTTCTTTTCAAAAATGTAAAAGGAAAGGGACGTACCGATGCAGGAAGGCAGGGGGTTATCCCAGGCTCTCCTCTCGCCTGTCATGCACTTCAGGGTGGTGGCACCATGCAGAGTGTATCCTGGCTCACATCTGTATGTGATGCTGCTCCCGGTGAAATGACCTTGGTCGTTGACCTTGAAGCCGAACTGAGGCACGCCAGGGTCCTCACAGTGGGACAACTCAAAACCTAGAAAGAGAAAAAGACAGATAAGGATCATTACAGCGCACACTTTAAAAGAAAACTTTCTCAGGGACATCTGAGAGCCACGAGAGAAAACACAATTAGTTTTGTTTAGATGCCCAATATCCCCTTAATATCTGGCAGACTCAAATATTCTGTTTATTTATATCACAGATCCTGTTTTCCAGATTTAATAAAAAACAAGCAGGAAAGGATACATGAGACATCCCAATATTATGAGTGATACTGGAGCATATACACCTTATCCAATTTAATGTTGTTTTCACACTCTGTCTAAGCTCTGTTTCCATGGTAATATGCAGAATATTCAGTTTATTCATGTGCTTGATTTTGGAGAGTGGGATAGGAAGGGATATATAAATAGCGTATCCTTATGAGACCGTAACCATATATTACCTGGAAGACGGGGTGTATCAGGATTTGAGTTATCTCCTGGAACACTGCAGTAGGTGCATGTCTAAATCCTAAAAAATGACCGTTTGCATAGATGTTCTTTTACCGTTTGCCAATCTGAACACAGCTGCAATCATCCTGACAAGTTGTGTGAATAGTTGCACATCTAGAATTGTATCATAATTATAAAACAAACCATAGTGCTGCAGTGTTTTATAAGATAATGCCTCTTGTTTGCATAGCTAACTAACTTCTATCCGCATCAGTATAAGAAAGTTAAAGTGCAGAGTAAACATTGCTCCACTCTTCATTTAAAGTGGACCTATCATGCTATATTTGAAAAATATATTGTAGGACCATACCTATATAAAACATTTCTGCAAAGTTTTCTTTTCAAAATACCAAACAGATCATGCATTTTAGCCATGCTTCATTTCGCTCTATTTGCTCTTTTTTAGCCCTGTTTTTGCAAGGGCTGAATCTGAGAAGTCTTCTTTGCTGCTTTTGTGGCAGACTACAGCGCCACCTACAGGCCTGGCCTATGTACTACAGCGTCTCCAGCGCTTTTCAAACGGCAATGGCCGTGGCTGTCTTCTCCTGATAGGTGGAGAGATGCCCATATACAGTAGGTGGAGCTCCTCGTTCCTGACGTCAGAGATATTTCAAATCTGTATCAGTCTGTATCAGATCCGTTGCAGCCCCGTTTTTAGAGATTTGGGTATGGAGGAAAAGAGAGAGGGTTGTGTTCCCTGACACTTGGTGAGTTCCCTGACACACCGGGGACACATATTCATGTCTACTGTAAAAGAAGTACACAAGTGCAATTATATGTTTTATTTCCAACTATGCTTCTTAGAGGATACATGCACACATGGGTGTACTTTAGTGAACATCAGAGAGCACCTCTAACATCCCATCCTACGCTGAAATCAGAGCGCTCTGAAATCTTTGGTCATCAAACAGTATACGTTTCTTGTGATAATGTCAGCTGTGGAATTCACAATTAGTTGTGTGTTGGTTTCACAAATGAGAACCATTTGGAGTGAAATTGATTCTGAGCGCATGCTTCATTTGTGAGAAATTAGTAAATGTAATTGCTCATGTAATGTGACTCCCACACTGAGTAGCATGTTTTCTCAGGTGGTGTCATTGTCTACGGCAGTTTTACCTTATTTAACATAACATAACTAAAAGCTAGCTGAGATGTAATGCATTGGAATCTCCCAAAATCGTTACGAAGGACTTGACATTGTCTCTTCATAGGGAGAAATTAACAAACTACCAGAACAGAACAATTAACGTAAAACAGTTTACGTTACTTTTGTGCAAAATTGCCAAGCTGTGGGACAGGGAGGTTATGTAGTGATGTTTACTCACAGGTTTGATAAATGGAAGAGGGTACAATTGTTTCTTATACAACCATTTGTGTATACTGTTTAACCTCAGCTTCCGGTTTTGACTAGTTTAGGCTTTGTGCATGTATACAGTATTTCCTGATCTGTGCACTTACTGGAGTAGACCAGTTTGAATCCTTCCCCATTACTTTCTGAATCGCTGTAAAATTCCAGCCAGAGGTGGTTTGATGTGGAGATCAGCGTCAGGCCCAACATGGATGATCCCGTGAACGCTCCAAGAACCTGGGCTGTGCTGTCTTTACCATCATAAATCTGTAAAAATAATCACAGAACAATCCATTTGAGATGCAAATGTAACATTAAACAACCCATTGAGGTTAAAGTGTAGTTTTTGATGAATTGTGTCTTTTTATCATCACAGAGCAGTTTCAAGCGATTGAATGTGTGTTTGTGAGTGTGTTTACCTTTAGTATATCTGCCTGGGCCAGATGAAAGGTTCTAGCAGAAATGTTGATGCCTTTCCCAGCTTGCACCTAAAGTAAACATGATATACAAATTAGATTTGTACAGTACGCCATTAAAGCGCTCACAAATATATGCAGATAGTCATTAACACTCCCTAATTATCATAATGTTTTTTACACTTGTGCCAGGGTTTCTATTAACCTCAGTTAGGATGTACAGATGAGGTACCTGGATGCTGTAGATGCACTCGTGGTTGTTGTCGTAGTTCATTGGATAGTTTGGAGAGAGAATGATCCCTTCATTGTTTATAACTGAAGAACCACACTCGGCTTGAAAGAAGAAAGAAGAGCATTCAAAAAGACGAAAATGGATGGTTTGATTATTAAGAGTGTGATAATGACGTGGTGAGAACATGTGGGAAGACATTGACATTTCTTATGCAACAGAAAATGCCACACATTAAAAAATCCATGCTATAAAATGGTTCAGGCTCATAGTACACCAGATTCAGTCCACTGTACGAGCAGTTATAGAGAGTATAGGAATATAGTGCCTAGTATAAAATATAATGTCATCATATAGAAGATGATTATTCCTTTTTTCCCAATGAATGGACAGATACGTTATAGTGTGTGCTTGTGAGTCATTTTAAAACCCTTTTAAACCGCCGTATTGTCAGCCATCTACTTCAGTTGAGGAGAATAGGCAGGCGGTTAAATTGAGAAACTAATTTACCTAAGGATATCCGCCCGCAGCACTTCTCACATGTGGCCTCCATCTGCGGTACCCATGTCCCTCTCCTCTTTCCCTCCCTCTCTCCCCCTCTCTGTGTCTCTACTGGTGTAATAGTCATATTACAGCTGTCATATCGTCAATAAATCACGCTGCTACAGTTTCCATTTAGAAAATTACCTCTCCACCCTCTCCCTCTTCAACTCCCTCCCTCTTGCTCTTTCTCTCTGTTCCCTCTCTATGAATAGTGCCTCCTTAACCCTCTTCTGCTTCAATCTGCTTTACTCTTCCGCTTCTCATAAGTTTCCTATTCTCTACTGTTCCGTGTTGAGTGGCAGATAATGTCCAGTAATAAGCCAAAAAGCACTTGTGACTTTCTGAAAAACCAATGACACCTCCTTGGTACCTCTCCAACTCCCTTCTGGACAGTGCTTTATGAAAACAATATGTTTGACTCACTGGGGAGGCGAAGAAAGTCTCATGTGAAACCCACTAACAAAGGCCTCTGAAGCAATACTTTAAACCTGAGAAGCACATCCCTTAGTTAATACAAACTAGGCAAACACAAAGCACAATGCAAAGGTTTGCAGAGCTAAGTTATTAGAAGCTGGCACATCATAAGTCTTTTTCCTCTAGTGTTCACTCCTCCTTTGTGATGTGCACCGCATCACGCAGCAATGCAAAACAACACACAGGCACTAAATATAGCAAACGGCACTGAAGCTCAGAACCTCGGCCCGCAACACCTCCCACCTCTCTGCATTATCAGGCTCTGCAAAGACGTAAACACCGGCTCTGTAAACAACACGTGAAGCTGCTGTTTTAAATATCCTCACCAGCCATCTAAAATGAAAAAGTTAAATATGGTGCCTGGTGTTTTAATAGAGCTTTGTAGTAATGGTGTTGCTGAAAACAATCCTGTGAAGGAGTCCAGTTGTCTTCTATTGATTCCGCATTTGCACTCAAATAAAATCACATTTTACACATTTCTTGCTCGAAACACCTTGAAGTTATGAGTACCCTGTGTTGATCCCTGTGGGTAAACTCATCATCTACATTAGAATTCATTTGGTTATTGAAAGACAGTAGAAAAGTATTCTTTTTTTTGCATTGTGGTTACTTTTATCCTGGTTCATTAGCAAATATTTGAAAAAAATGGTTTCTTTGGCAGTCTCTTTTAATGTATTGTGTCCTCAATCTAACAATTACATACAGGATGTTAGCTGACTAATGTGTGGAGTTTGTGTGTAAAGTCAATATTTCAATGATTTCCATTACATGTTTTAAACAGCTAGGGAGAAAATAACTCAATAATTATGCTTATTTTACCTTAAGGCGCTTTTTTTCAGTTTGCTTTTGTCTTTGTACATTATCCATTAGTGATATCACTCAGGATGTTCACCAAGGTAAAACCTTTTTCAATTATTATTGATGTTTGTTTACTGCAATTTGTGTTTCCTTAAGCGTATAGTTCATAGAAAGGTTCTTCCTTCAGCTAATTGTATGCATGCATTTACAATTAACCTCATGTTGCCTCCACACACACGTGTTTGTTTGCTGCTTGTAAAACTCCACTGTAGATGACAGACTGTTGAGTTTCTTAACTGAGAGTTTAATTTGGCGCATTAACCTACAGCCTCTACTACTCTGGAGCAAAACATAAGCCCTATTATGTTCTGCCTCATCTGTCATTATCACATCAGTTCATTCAACAAGTTCGAAACGCATACAATAAAATGACGATTCATAAAATACTCTAGTTATAAATCAAACAATCTGTCAAATTATTGATAAGGTCCCTAAATGTAAAACTAATCATTCTAAAAGTTGATAAAGGATTGTGTTTGCAACATTCTCTGCCCACTGATGACTCAACATTAAAGAAATATCTCTGACATTTATTGTTCATCCAGTAACTGAAAGGTTGCTTTTACAAAAACTACAACAGTTATTTTAGTCCACTGTATTTCCTTTTTGGAACCAATTTTAAAACTGAAAATTAAGGACAGGGTACAGTAGGCTTAGAATTGAATTCCACCGTAAAAGTGGAAATATCAAAATCGCTTCCTTTCTGATTCGCATTATTCTAAAAGCTTTCCTCTCTTAGTCACTGCCTTCACAATAGTGCTATGGCATGTCCTTCACTATCTTTTAAAAGCAAACAGAATTGGCCTTGTGGATAAGCATTCTGAATGTTTTTTCCTCATCTGTTCACAGGTCACAATGTTCGCAAAAAACCTCAAGCTATCAGCAGCCCAGTGGTTCTCAGGTCACTACAGGATAACCCTCTGTTACATATTTTAAATATAATTGATGTTTGTGGAACTGGAGACAACTGTAAAACAACTATACTGTGTTTTCACTGTGAGGATGGCAATTAAAAGTAAACTAAACACTATTTTCTCATCAGTAATTCAAAGTTTGACATGTTGACATAAAATGGCTTGTTATTACTTTCAAAAGGTGCGTTTCACAAATGGTAAATACCAAATGTGAACTATCTGAAATGTTCCGTGCTTTTGGCGACCTAAAATCTACATTTTAATTCTAAATATGAAATGTCTTTGTGTCTTTAGAAACTTGTTTTGGTTTACAAGAAACATCGACAAATGTATTATTCTACCACATAAGGGACCATGGGGTTACATAACAAATAACACCCATTAAAATGAGCAGTAACGCTAGCACATACCGACACATCTTGGTAGAGCCGAGCTCCACATTCTCCGCCCTCCTCCCAGACAGATCACCTCTGGCACCCCCTCTAGGCGGTATCCCATATTACAGGAAAAAGACAACGTGTCTCCGATTCCGAAAGTGAAACCGTTTCTTTGGCCAAACCGAGGCATCCCGGGATCCTCACACGGCTCCAGAGTGTATTCTGCAGAAAAAAACGTCACATTTGAAGACATCAATTGTACATGCATTAACATGAAGCACGCTCTAAAATGGATGAACACTATTGTGTGATATGTCTTCTATGACTTTGGGAAAAAACTTTGACTGGAAAATTAAATGATCTAGAACAGCTGTTTTCAAAGTGTGAGGCGGCCTCCCCGGGGGGGCGCCAGAGAGCTTCAGGGGAGGCGCAGCGTGAGAAAAAAATAACGAGAATTTCAAGGATGAATCGATGAGCATAACAAACTGTTAAGATGATGACCTTAAGTGTGTAAATATTTTTTTTTCTTTGTGGGGGTCTTCCCCCAAAAAACTGTTTTAAGTCCTGAGACAGTCAAATAAGACGGTGTAAAACTACACTGCCCAGCCAAAAAAAAGTAACCACTTTGATTTAACTAGGCCAGTAGGTAAGGACTTTCCACTGGATAATAATACCCCTGCATTATAGCAACAACAACAATAATAATAATAATAATAATAATAATAATAATAATAGCAATAATAATTGGGAGGGGGGGCGCAGCTGTTCTTATATCCTCTGAGGGGTGGCTCACCTTCCCACACTTTGAAAACCCCTGGTCTAGAATGATCTGTTTTTCTTCGTAGTGTAGAATAGCAGAGATCTACTTTTATAAGTGATGATGGAATATGTCAGTGACTTAAAATATACAACAGATAATGTACTTTATGTGATATTTTGAGCAACTCTCAATTTAGCTGAGTGTTGCTTGGGTGCCATAAGAGTAAGTGAGATGTAATGAGATTAGAGTGTAAATTAGAGTGTCCTCTACTAATGGTGTTAAATCAACAAATCAATACCCACCACACTCAAAGTCCAGGAAAATCCACCCCAAAATATAATATATCACAACGTAGCCATTAGATGTTAACGGAAACGAAAGAACACCCTGATGGCAATTCTCTGTATGTGTGTGTGTGAAGAAACGCTTTTCAATAATTAAATAACTTTTGAGATAAAACACTCTTGAAAATGCAGTTCATTAAAATGTAATGTCCGCATTAGAACCGTGAACAATTCGTCCAAAAGTTGTGAGACTGAGCTGACTGTGTCCTGAAATGCTCTTGCTGATTTTATTGTTTGGCATGGTAGAGCAGAGGATTTATTTTCAGAGGGCAGAGACTGAAGAAGTGATGTGTGTTTGATAGTGTGCTGCAGGAGGAGACAGCATGTTCAGCATGTTGTTGTGATTGGCAAGTCACATCTCTGGTGACACCTCCCATGTGTTACATTCTGAGAATCGGCTTATGCCATCTGGGAGGCAATAACATGTCCCTCGGTATATTATCAGATTTGAGTGCTCCTCTATCCCCGAGTCAATGAGAGAGCATTGAGAGGGCAGCTAGGCTGAGGAGTGTGATTAATGAAGGACAGCTGTAGCCTTGGACTTTGTCTAAATTCTGCCACTCAACCCTTTAACCCTAAAAGTGAATGAGCGTTGTAGTAGCACACATATGGGCAGGGACAGCATGGTTTCTACACATTCTCGCCTTTCAGGAATCCATCTCTCTGTGTCCTATTGTTTTGTTTAACGGTGGATTAAACTCTGTTTAATGTTGTGTAACCTCTTTACTATGTTAGGTGTTTTTTTTCAATAGCAATTCTCAAGGTTTATGGGTAGTCTTCAGGGCCATTGGTAAGTAAGTGAGTATGTGACATTCACTTCACAC